CGACAGTTAATTTTTATAGAAAATCTTCTTTATCTAAACCTCCATTTTCCCAGATTATTTTGAAACAGACCATATTTTTCACTCATAAATATTTGTGACTATATATCCAGAAATTTTATTAACAATATTGTGAAAACAACAGTTTACTCTGATTGATACATTTCTACCTCTACCTGGAATCTATTTTTTGTTGCTGCAAAATGTGGAAAGCACTGGGGTTTCAGTAGTATACTGAATTCGTAAAGCTTACAAATACATTGGATTGTGTGAACCAGCTGTGTCCCTGTGATTAATCTATTCTGTACACAATAGCACTTGGGGCTCAGGACCGCCCCTCCTTTGGTCACCTAGTAACTTTTCACTAGTCAACAAGAAGCTGAATCAAATTATTTTACAGGAGGGTGTTTGGCTAGCTAACTTGGATCTTCTCCTAGACTTCAAGAGAAATAACCATCACCAAGTTTGAATTTGTTAAAACTTTAGGCTTTGCTGGCAGGAAAGAAGCATATTATTTTTGGAGCTCAAAAATGGATACAGAAGACATGGGCTCAGGTAAACTAGGCCAAATATTGAAGCAGATTTGGAGACAAAACCAAATGCTGAAGCAGGCTCTCCTAGGTGATGGCCTCTGTGAGGGGGCTGGTGGGGCCACTTGGATAGCCACAGTGGTCTTTTTGGGTCAAGGGCTCAGTGCAGCCCTTCACCAACTGTTGGAGCACACTGCAGGGACCCTGCACTCCACATGTCAACAGCTGTGTGTAGTGCTTGACAAGGAGAACCAGTGTACCTGGAGACAAGGCAAGTAGTCCTTTTTATTTGCTTTGGTTCATGCTTCCTCTTGGAAATGTGTATTGAGGCAGTATCTGAGGGATGTGATGTAGAGAAACAGGGCTAAAGTAGAATCTCTGTTTATAAGTAGCTAACATTATTAAGGGGGAAATAGGGCAATAATTGTACAATAATTGAAGGGACTTTTAGGCCCCTCCTATTAGAGATATGCAGTTGAACTGCTTCTGGGCTTCTGAAATGGTCAGGATCCTATTTTAGTGTAGAGAAATTAGAATTTTGCTAAGAGATGTAATATTTAAACTGAAGCTTAAAGGATGAATTGGAGGCATGCAACTGGAAATTTGGATGAATGGTTTATTATTTGCAGGAACCAAGCCTTAGAGGTAGTAAAATACAGGCCTACTTTAAGCAGTGCAAGCAGTTTTCTATGTTGGAATATCATGTTCTAACTCTAGAGTCATTTAAGCCTGGGCCTATTAATTACAAAAACAGTGGAAAGACTGGATAAGCTAGGAGAAGAAATTGGATCCCCACACACTGAAGGCCAGGTGCAAATTCTTGGGAATATGTCCAGTTATGGGTGGTTAAAAAGTACAGTAAGTCAGGAAGAATGTGGTATCTGATGAATATGATCTTAGACAGCAATACTTCCAGAACCCAGATGGCATTATACAATACAGTTTTCAGAGATATAGTGTCAAATGAAAGGACAGGCCCCATCAATCAGGAACCTTGAGTTGGTAATATTAAGGAACTCAGTCTAGAGGGCAAATGGTGAACCTCAGAGAAATCTGTCCAAAAGCAGTGTGACCCAGAAGCCATCAGTGGGAATTTATAACCAGGCAATTAGTCTCTGGGAAGAACTGAACACAGTTCTCAGCAAGTCTAGACAAGTACTCAACCACCAGAAAAGATGAGTTTAAAATAAACTCAGGATCTCGAGTATAAGACAAAGAACAAGTTGTCAGAACTGCAGTGAAACTGAGACGTGGGACCTTTGTAGTTCAGAACTGGGAGTATAGAAGGTCAATCCTGCAAGAAGTCATCAGATGACTGGAGCTGTGAGGAGATGCAGACAGATGGGTGCTTGGAGTGAGAAATACTCAGATACTGAAGAGGTTAACCTCAGAGCAAAGAACCTTGACTTGAACTCGTTGTTCTCGATTAGCCACTGCAGAATCCCGAGAATGATAGTGTCACCTTTTCTCTTTCACTCTTTGAAAGACTACTTTGAAAAATGCTAATGATCACAAGCTCAGTAGGAGGAGTAGTGAAATTCTCAGATCAGGAAATTTTACAAAAGTTTACAAAATACAGCATTTGTGTTCATCATAAATAGCACAGCTGTAGACTTCCTGCCGCTTACCTGCTTCTGGGGTATTCAGATAACTTTAGGTCCTACATTTGGAATGGATAATTGGTATAGTATCTCCAGAGGCAAAGAAACAATTGTCAAAATTATAACATATGACTGAGGAGTTGTTGACTCCATTCTTATTGGGGAGAAGGAATCCTCATATTTGACTTCAAAGTTTAAACCTTCTCATGAGCAAAAAGGGTCAGTTTCACCTCTTGGCTACTGTGCTAAAAGTGGGTTTCATTTCCTTCTACTTCCTAGAAATGTTAAAAGAATGACGATTGTACAAATAATATATTTCCTTCAGGAGATTGGCCTAAATGCCCAGTGAGCCTGTGTAGGTTTCTGAGATTACCTTATTATGTCTCATTATGCATCTGTACAGACGCTCAATTTGTTTTAGTTTTATTTATTCTTTGTGTGTATATGTGTTTGTGTGTGTGTATGTATGTGTGTGTGCGTGTGCAGAAATTATCGCTTTCATAGACTGCCTCACCAAAATGAATGAACACTTGGGGAACACTGCTAAGCTTCTAAAGAAAGAAGAAAAGGAGATGTGTAATTTATGCAGCACACATAAGGACCGTACTCCACAACAGACAATACTCGCCATTCAAGATACCAAAGCAACAGACATTGCTCCAAGAGGGGAACTAAATGTCATGGAAACAGCTACTGTTTCTCCCACAAATGCAGAGGAAAGTCATTACACGTACCAGGTCCAGTTAAAAGAAAATAAAACACAGATAAATTCTGAACTAGGGGAAAAAGAAAACAATGCATCATTGAGTGGAAATGCAAGAGGGCAAGAACAGTTACAGAGCACAGTGTTCCCAGATAATGCAGAAGATGAAGATGAAGAACAAAGAGGACACGTGACTGCTGGGAGCACAAGTGGCAACAAGGAAGACATTCATGATGTAATCCAGACAGCAGAAGGAGAAATTGGAAAGACCTCAAAAAGCCCAACAGATGAGATTACCACATTCCCAACAACATGGGACATCTCCAATAAGGGCGTGAATAATGTTCCCCATGAGTCAGAGGTTCTAAAACAAAAGAGCAACATAATGGAAAAGGAGTAAGTACAGGCGTGGTAAGAAGGGCTTATATATGCCTATTCATATGTGTGTTTCTAAGTTAGTAAATGTCTTTGTCTTGCTGCTATAACAAACTATGATAAACTGGTTCGTTTTGAGTGAAAGAAGTTGATCTCTTATAGGTCTGGAGGTTGAGAGACCAACAGGGCATAGGAGATTCAGGGTCTACTAAAAGCTTTCTGGTTCAAGGATGGCATCTTGTTGCTGTGCCCTCACACGGTTTTGCAGGTGAACCAGATCACTGGGTCCTTTATAAATGGCACTAATGCCGTTCATCAGGACTGTGCTGTTATGACCTATTCACCTCCATCCAAAGGCCCCATCTCCTAACACAATCACCTATGGGGTAAAATCTCAACATTTCATTTGAGGAAATATAGGTAGACCAAAAAGGCATACATAACATTTATACATGAACAAAAATTTGTATTTTCAAGCTGTGTCTCCAAAATGTATTATAAATCAGTAATTCACATTAAATTATTTCATAGAAATTTTTGACAGTGTGACTGCTATCACTAACATCATTGTTCCTTGTAATCTTAGGAAACAAATATGCTAAATAGTTCTTTAAAGGAAAAAGTAATTAGTTATAAAGAAAGTAGTTACAATTGTTCAGAGAATAAGCACTTTTTAAGTCAGAAATTTTTAAATTATAAGAAGAAAGATTGTAGAACGTTAAAAGTTTTAAAGATAATTTTCTAACATGAGATTTATTTATAATATCAAAGTAATTGTCATAAGTTTTCAATTTGTGTCTTTAGAACACCAGGAGGCTTATGAGTGAGATTTGAGAGGTTTTTAAAGTTGAATATGTTTGTTCATACCTATTTAATCTCCTTGAAAATTGTCAAGAGTTTTATCAGATTTTCTTACAGCCCATGAAATAAAAAAGGAGAGTGATGTATTTTAGGAGCTATCCCTCTTCAACAGGGTAATAACAATTCTTGATTTGTCTAGATAAATATTTTCAAGCTGTATTTTCCTAGATAAATATAACATTCTTTCATAGCAATGTGAAATAGTGGGAAAAATACTTACTTGCTTTGGGAGTCAGATTTTTTATTTTCCATTTTATTATATACTAGTTCTGTGGCATTGAGCAACTTGCTTCATGGGTGTTTTGTTGGTTTGTTTTGTTTTTTAGGAGCTCTCCCTCTTCAACAGGGTAATAACAATTTCTCAGTTCTCACTGTGGTAATACTATCTCCTTCCTTGGAGTAGTTGATAAAGTCAAATGAGCAGATCACAGAAGGGGCCTAGCCCTCATGCTGAGCTACTCTGCAGGTGTTCACACTGGGCTAAATGTTAGTGTGCTGCTTTGTTTCATCCCCAACTCTCACTACCCCTGCCTCCCACCAGCTACTATTCCACTGTCCAGGCTCTGAGTTTTCATGCCCTTTTGGGTAGATAGGTAGCACCGTTTTCCAGAAAACATCACCAAGTCTATGGTAATCACTGAGTCACTTTGCTCACATTGACCTCAGAGCTCTATGAAAAGAAGAGGTTGGACTATTTTAGCAGTAATGTCTCTGCAAGAGAGAGAATCTAATGTATCCTACAGATGAGCATCTCATTGCATGAAAGACCTCCATGGTTTGCAAGAAACATCTGCTAAAATAGTCAATATGTGGTTTTCTATTTCACTTGAGAAAAACATTGACACTTAACATCCTCCCATTCAGAAATGACTCAGAACATCAGCTAGTGAGTCATTACCTGCACCACTCCTTCTAACACCTCCTTTAGGTGTTCCCTGGTTAGCGATTTCCTCTTTGTGGCATCAAAACAAATTGTGCTTTGCTTGTACATTTAAGAAGATGACTATTCAGTGCAGTCCTCCAGGCTAGGAAGCCATCACACCACATAAAAGCACTAAACAAAATCTTGCTCAACAAAAAGTACTAAACTAAACCTTAGCTTTCCAAAAAAGCACTGTCCTTTGGTATATCTGTCCTAGTGTGTACACAAAGGGGTAAAAGACGATAAGCCAATGGCATTGATTTAATAACAACAAGTCGTAGCTGATAGGACCAGGGAGAATAGACCCTTTTGCAAACCTCCTAGTAACTTCGCCTGTCATCTGGGAACCACACCTTGCTGAGGCAGTGTATTGAGATGGTTTTCAGGATACAGAAGGGAGCTATTCTTTAAGTTACATGAAGTGGTTTTACTGTATCCTCTGGTGGACAATATTTCTTTTACTAAATCATCACTAGCTCTATGATGGGAGAAGACTTAAGCAAATTATTGTGCTGGACAATTTTATGTTCCAACTTTATAAAGTCAAGACTGCTCATATAAAGAAATGAGCCTCTGTATGAGTTCAACACTCTTTTTACATTCATTTGTGAAAATATATTTAATAGCTTTATTTACTAATAACTGAAAGGTAGCTGAAAGTTATTAAAATGTAAATGAGGAAAAGAATGCTATATTCCATAAAGATCCCCTTATTTATCTACAATATTGCCTTTATTTAAACCATTTCTCTGTTGTGCAATAAGTACAACAAGCGGAGGACTTCAAATGACTAGTTTTAATGTAGACATCTATGTTAAATTTATGCTGACCCATTACTATTAAAAAGGCTTAAGTATTTTATCTCATTAAATTTTTATGAGTATGGATTAAATATTAGTTTCAACTTGTAATGGATGAAATGATTATTATTTATGAAATATTTGAGGAAGGTATGATAATATTTGAGAATCTGAACTTCCACATTAAAGATAAATGGAGCCATTTTTTTTTATTCTAAAACAGCATCTATGTGATTTGTTGCAAGGTGAAATTTCTAAACTTTAGTTTGTCTATCTGTAAATAGTGATGATGGTATTACTTTTTGACACAGTACCTATAAAGAGTAAGTATTATATGGCCTGAAAACCTGATCCACAGAAAGACTTAAAATAGTGACTATTCTGATAATAGTTATTGATGTTTTTGGTCAAACAAATAGGAAGTGTCTGGTCTGAAATTTAAATTTAAATCTATAAGGCTCTAAAATCGTTGCAAAGATGAAGTTTAAGAAAAGTGAAATAAATATTAAAAATAAGCTTTTAAAACAAGTATTTGAGAATTGTAAATAATCAGCTCCTAATTAGTATTGCTAGTTGTAAACTCACAGTGGTTTTGTACCTTTATCAGCTTTCATAGAAACTCCACGAAGCATCATCACATGATCTAGAGTGTTTGGACAATTTTATTGCCTCATAGTTCATCACTCTCTCTCCTCACAGTTAAGCAAATGATTTAAGTTTTAATTCTTAGTTTATTAAGAGGTATCATAAGTCTTCAAATTTTATTATTGGGCAAAAAATATTGAGGAATAAATCAATCACTTTGACAATAGTATTAATATTAATAAAAAACAGTTACAGCTTACATACTTAGCTAACATAATTAATACAACATAGATACCACCCCTGCAACATGAAGTCACAGCTCCTTCTAACTACTGTAGAATAGTGCATTTAATTCAGAGCTTTCCAAAGAGGTAGATATTACTTAAGCCCTCTTTACAGGAACTAAAGCATATACAGTTTGAGTATTTTTTTCCAAAGAGTTAATAAGTGGAAGAACTAAGGATCACTTCAAGAAAATGTGCCTTATACTTTGTGCCTTTCTGCATTTTGCTATAAAATAATGCTCCCTTTTTTCCGCAGGTATCTTGATGTGCCTAGTGATGGTACTGACCCCCAAGTGTCTTGTTATATTACAGCACCATTACATGTCCTACAACAATTTGAGTGCCGGATAATTAACTGCATGAGTTCCTTTATAGTGAGTGATAATGAAGAGTTAGTGAGCAATGTCATCACTGTTGAATGCTCAGATAAGGAAAAGAGAATTCCATTCCCAATATGCATTGCAATTCCATTCAAGGCACGCTACAGGGGAAACTACAGAGACATCATGGTGAAGGTGTCTGATCTAAACCTTCAATCAAGTTACCTAACCCCAAATTCACTGGAAGGAATGAGAGGAAGTTATAAGGTCAGTGATTCTGAGCTGCAACTATATTTGTTGTTTGGAATTCCTCTAAATGTTACTAAGAATATTATGCTGTAGTGTAAGAATAATTGTGCCATTGTAACAAACAGAAGTATGGACTAGTACCTTCATTCTTTAAAGAATACTATAATGATCAAAGAGCAGAAATTATTTAGTAATAGATAACTTGTGTCCAGAAACTAACAAATGTTGTTTTTTTGCTCTTGGAAAACAAGCAACATTATAGCCTAATTAACTTCATGGTTTAGACCATGAAGCTTCATGATTACATATTTAATGTGTTGGGTTGTTGTCAAAACCAAAGCATTAGAAAGTCAGATAATAGTAGTTCTTTATTATTATTATTATTATTATTATTATTTCTAGCTTAGAAGAATATGTTGTATAACTGTATTAATTCAACTGTGAACCTAAAAATTTACAGCCACTTTTGAAAGAGATGTACCATTGCTCTGGAAATTGTTATTGAATAGGTGAAAGCTGTAAAGGAATTCTTCTTCTAATCATGTAGTTATTAAACAAATTTTAAAAAACGAAGTAGAAACTACAAAAAAAGAATATGTCCAAAATGAAACATGCATCTGCATGTTAATAAATTTGTTAAATCTATAAATGAAATGTAGTCTATTCATGGAATATTGTACGTTTTGTGGAAATGGTGGAAGAAATCTGGTTCCCACACTTGTCTGTAATGTGAATTTGAGTAGATTAAGAAACCTTGCTGTGACTCAATTTCTTCAATTTAAAAATGAGCACAGTACTAGTGCCTGATAAGATTGTACAGATTAAATAAATAAAACATTTAAGAAAACAAGTGGAACTGGGTGTGGTGCCTATAATTTTAATTCCAGCATGCAGAAAGCAGAGGCAAGCTGATCTCTATGGGTTTGAGGCCAGCCTGATCTACATAGTGAGTGCCAGGTCAGCAAAGGTTATAGAGTGGGACCCTGTCTCACAAAAAAGAAAAAAAAATAGAAAGACAGACTTCATTGAAATAGTCCCAAGGCTATCTATAGTCCCAAATTCAAATGTTAGTAAGTCAGAATCCTCAATCATTATATTTAGTATTATAGGATTAATGGGGCAAAAGGCTAAAGGTCTCCTCTCGGCCATTGTACTTATTTTTAACCAATTACAATGTTTGTTTTTATATATATTTCTTATTTAATGAGGACGAAGAAGAATACATGTTAAAAATTTCTTCATAATACACTTCATCCTTTTCCAGTCTTTGTATTTTCAAATAAAACATTATATCGTTGAATAAGAAAGCTAAATCTATTCGAATTATTCCCGTTCATGCAAAAAAAAAAAAAATACTTGTTAGATCTAGACTAGGCTGCCTCTAAATATGGAAGTCCAATTAGCATCACTCTTGACTAGGCTTTTTAATCTTGGCCAGTCTCTGTGTCCTCCATAATCAGTGCTTTAGAAACTTTTCTCAATACAAGTGCCTTTTCAAAACTTGGCTTGAAAGAGGTTTTGTAAATGGATAATCAAGACAAAAGGAAAATTAAGAGAATTATTATCTACTATAAAAAATAAAATATTTGTACTAGCCTTAAGATAGTTCTCTCTAATTTTAGCTTAAGAACATTTGAATTCTGGATTCCTTCCAAAGTTTTATGTGGACTCTATGACATTTAAACATTCTAATTCTTAAAAGCTCTTTTGGTTCCCCAAACATTTGCCAAATGTCATTTCAGTGCTCAGCAACCACCACTGGTTCCCAGGAGACCTTTTTCTCTTCTTACCATTTTCCCTCTGGCCACTGAAGAACCAGCATTGTGCAGTGAATTTTCCCAACTGTGATATTGTGAAATGCTTCCCTTAGTCAGCTTTCAAATGATAGATTATTTTCCACTGAGACTGTCCCTGCAATGTTTGTGAGTGCATATGTGATTATCCACTCATGCTGGGTGGAGTCTGGCTGGTATTTGGGGAGGCATGAATAGAGCAAATTACTTCTAAGTCTGCCTCCTTATCTTAAGCCTTGGTGATTGTACAAGTAGATCATTTTATTTTCATATATGGACACAGTTTCCTTTTGTATGATAAGAAAGCTTGATTATGTGCTTGGATGTATGATTTTATGTTTGAATAGAACTATACAAGAAAGAGACATGAAAAATCATTCTCCATGGTCATCTGTTCCATGGCACAGAGAGAAATAGTGAGGCATCTGAAAAGATGGTATGTGATCCATCAGAAGGAAGAATTTTCTGAGATTACAGGTGCTACAATGTTAGAGTAAAAGACCCAAATAATAAAAGTTCATTCTTTGGAATTCCCTAAAATAGCACAGAAACTTCCAGATAAGATAAATGTTTTAAATTCATTCTAGTTTAAAAGGCTAGTATTCCAGAAGCAATTAAAATTTGTGAAGACACTATGATTGCCTAAACACCTATATTTCACTTTATAGTGCAGCCCAGGTTGGAGGAACTCTTAGCGATGCATTCGTCTTACTTTCATCCATGTTCAGTGTGTTGGAGCCCTCCACATAATGGGTGATTTTGTGGACATGGGTTTTTGATAGTCCACTGAGAATGGACAACACGTACTTCTCCAAAACAGTGCTGTAGCTTGCTTCAATGTCCTTTACTCCATACAGGGGACCTGCGCTGTGGTGAACGTTTACAAACTGGGTATGTTTTCTGTAGTGTCATGTTTAAAGAAAGAGTCTTTCACAGTGTCCAAAAAAGGGCTCACTCTGAAGTCAAATGTGGACTCCCGGATATCCTTAAGTTACCCTGCTGGAGTTTTCAACTCGCCAGTGCTTGTACAATTAAAGGTAAAGATTTAAAAGGAAAATTGATAAACTCTTTCTTCTAGTGGGCCAAGCACAGTCTAGAAGGATGCAGATCATTTATATAACCATAAATGGGATTTTTGTCTTGTAATGTCTAGTAAGAGCAGTGATAGAGTCAGGATTTGGAGCACATTCCAAAATAAATCTGTGCTTTTATTTGAAAGGCTTCCCTACCTAGTCTTTTATACTATTATGCTTATATTTATTGGCAAACATATATTGGTTATCTATGAAACAACTGCTGACAAATTTTGGGACATTCATACATATCCAGATTTCCACTGAGTTGATGGCAAGATAAGAAACTACTCCAGGAGGCTGGAGAGATGGTTCAGTGGTTAAGAGCACTGGCTGCTCTTATAGAGAACCTAGTTACCGGCACCCACTTGGAAGCTAACAACTGCCGTTTGTAACTCATCACAGGGAATCCAACACCTTCTTCTGGCCTCCCCAGGCATTGTATGCACATGGTGCACTTACATACATGTGGGGAAAACACTCATACACGTAAGATAAAAATAAATGAGGAATTTAAAAAAGAAAGATCATTTATAAAAAAAGAAATGACTCCATTAAATATTTATTACTATGAATTTCGAGTTATATTTACTTATGAAAATTAGTTTTCTTGGGATAAGGATTTAATATATGCAAATACTATTTTCAGAATGTGTAATGATGTAAAAATGTACATCCCAGATTATTTTCTCAAATAATAGTCCTTCTCGCTCCAATCTTGTCTTTTGCATTCTTTTTCCTATTTCTCCCAGTTGTTATCACAAATGGTAAGTGAAGGAGAAAGAGTACAAAGAATATGTAACAGTAATATTGAATCCATAAATATTTCCATAAAGTTTGAATATTCTGAAATATGTTAGTGATTTTTATTCTTAATAATCCTTTTATGAGAGGAAACACAAGTAAATGTCATCTTGCTTTCAAGGTTCTACTGATCACATAATCTAATGACAATTCAGGTTAGAAACTGTGTGAAACGTCACTTTTGTTTTAGATCATTTTTTTGTTTATAGTTTAGAGTGTTTCTCAATTGTATATATCCATATATATCCATCTATTCACACACACACACACACACAGAGGGGGGAAGGGGGCCTACATTTCATAAGACTGCCTCAATGTGTACTTTTATCTAAGCATTGTCATTGCCAGATACTTTCCTTAAAATTTTAGAAAATAAAAGACATCTAAATTTGAAAAATTTTGGAAAATTGTTTTAGTAATATACTTATTCTTGTACCTTCTGAATGTATGTCCATACATATATGTGTACACATGCACATATTTTTCTTCTCTGTTTAGATACAACCAGTTGACCCTTCTCTGGTGTCTTGTTTAAAATCACAGCAAGATACTTTCTACTCAGTACTATCCACAAGTCCCCTGATTTGTGTTCAGCACCCATCAACTCATCCTTTTCAGAAACCAGTCACAGTATTCCTCCCTTGCTCTCCTCACCCTGAGAAAAAGACTCTTGAGTCTGAGAAAGATCACACAACAGAGAGTGGCACAGCAAACAGGATCCTTCCCACACCCTGGTATTTCAACAGGTGAGTAAGAAATCCTACTGTTGCTAACTGATTTAATGGTAAACACAAAACCTTTTATGACCAAGAAGTACAATCAAATGACATTGCATTTAAATGGCAGTTTTCTGGGTGTGGTGGTAGATGCCTTTAATCCCAGTATTCGGGAGGAACAGGCACGTGGATCTTTGTGAGTTCAAGGCCAGTCTAGTCTACATTGTGTGTTCCAGGCCAGCCAGGGCTACATAGTGAGATGATGTTTCAAAAACCAAACAAAAACAAAAACAAAATCAACATTAAAATTATGAAGTACACTCCAAATTTTAGTCCACAATAGATTTTAGTTCCAATGGACCCAAAAATGTTTTGTGTTGAAAAGGTGCTATGTAATAAGACAGGTATGAAAGACATAAAAATAATCCTTTCAAGCCTGGCGTGGTGGTGCACACCTTTAATCCCAGGACTAGGGAGGCAAAGGCAGGCGGATCTCTGTGAGTTCAAGGCCAGCCTGGTCTACATAATGAGTTCCAGGACAGCTGGGGCTACAGGGAGACCCTGTCTC